TTATTTGCACTACATTATTGGATCAGACATTAGCCAACCCGAAAAGGGATTTGCATAGAAGCATACAACAGCACAACTAGAGTAGGTGGAAATCAAAATAATTGGCTACTATTTGCTAAATTCATGAACATTAACTCCTAATAGTCAGTAGGTATCAATTTAGTTGCTTGCACATATTAAGACCTCTTGGAACATACACACATTACACAAGGAAGTTAAATTACCAAACACCGTATGTAGACCATTTAAGAGAAATTGAGTTAAGAGATGGTACAAAAAGGGGAAAAAGAATGTGTTAAATGTTTCAGTGAAGGCAGCATATTTCAAACTTGAAGGAAGTTGAAGAAACAAGAACATCAAATTTTACCCTTTCCTATAGGGATCTTTCAGACCTGTCCAGCCAAACAAACCATCAAAATAAATTATGTTTATTAAATGACTCCTAAACTATTTAACACCAAAGATTTGGTTCCTGCTAATATGTCTTTTAAGCTACTTGAATTAGTAGCAGTAAGAAGTTTGCATTGACTGGCTTCTTGGTAAGAAGATATAGGCTCATCGTGTAATTTGAAGTATTAGGGAAAAACAATAACTAATCATATTCAGTGATGCTACCTTTGAGGAAGCCTTTGTGCTAGTTGTTCCTTTACCAGAGCCAGCTTGAGTAGGTTTTGTTTTTGTCCTCACCAACAGACTTAAATTCTTGATAGTTGCCGAGACAGCAATAGCACTGATGAGGCATACCGCAGGTGTAGCAACAAGAATCAATCGAACCATGACCCCAGCAAAGTACATGCTGGTGAGACCATACATCACGATAAATATAGTAGCATCCGACAGTCGTTTGAAGCAGAAATAGAGACCCGCAGGGAAAAGGATTAGCAATATATGAAAATCAAACATGAAAGATGACCATGCAGTTGGTTGATGCTCTGAAACAGAAGCAATAATGGGAATGTGGTCTTTCGCGTAAGTTGGGTCCAGAAGTGAATAAAACCGACCAGTCCATGGAGAGATATAACCAGAAGCAGTACCAACTCCAAGAGCAATGACACCCACACTTATAGCACAAGTCAATGTTATCCTTAAGAAAGCTTGAAACAACTTCTGATCATTCAGTAGATGTTTCACCCAATCCAAGAAATAAAACACCTGCAACAAGATCAAAACTTAGTATTGAGAACAAGCTGTACAGCTTCTAAAAGCATCAGCAAAATCCTAACACCAATTGTAAGTCATGAGCAAAGAATAAAAGAACCGGCTGAAGGAGTAAAAGTGTCATGAGAAACAAATATCCATCCTCCAGATTAGATTTTCATGGGAAAAATATCAAATGTAGAGATGAAAAAATCTACAAGCCGAGGAAAAGAAATCCTCCGGGGGGAAGGAATTAAGTAAAATGATATGAATTCCCATCAACGACCCCCAAAAATACTTAGAAATTGGGATTGGGAAATTTCTGCGATTCTCCTGAAACTATGGAGTACACAAGAAACTTGAATGACTAGTTCATAGTTATATAAACGATTTAAAAGACATTCATTTTTATTCATCTATTTCCACTGAAATAACACACGAGACAAAAAGAATACCTGCATCAAGAAAAATACTCCCATTGCTGCCATATGTTCTCCCGACTGTACATGCTGAAAACCCACAAAACGAATTTGCATTGCTAGCAACATTCCTAAAATGTACATGCAGTTGTAAGCCACATATAGCCTCATTGAATATCTTCCGACAACCAAGAGTACTAGCACATACAGTGGAATAAGATTAATGATAAATACATAACCACCCCAAGCTGAAACCATGTAGAAGTACCCTAAAGCTGAGGCCAGAGACCAAGCAAGTGAACCTGTTTTCACTGCCTTAACGAATAAATAGAAAGTAAGCAACAGTGCAAATATCGCAACCCCCTCATTGTCATATGATCCTGCCACCGACCTTGAGATGTAACCAGGACAGATAGCAATCAATGCTGCAGCCACAAGACCGGCACCTGTATCCCATAACTCCTTCCCAAAGAAGTAAGCAACAAGAGTTGTGTTGGAAGCAAAGAATGGTGCTGTGAGCACACATACCTCACGGATATGGACAGCAAACCTAAAAAAATGTCATACTTTTAGCTCTCAGAGAACGATTCTGTATTTTCGAGTAAAGCAATAGATATCTCTCAGGTTACAAATCCTACTAGTATACTTAAAGGTAAGTAATTTTTACTTATGACTAAACTTGCTCTCTATGTCTCTTTTCCAAACAAACAAAAAAATTATTTCTCAGTCACTCATATGTTTCCTAAATTTCTCTACATAGTTTTCTGGTACATACATATTAGAGTGCTTCCTCTTCACATTTTTCTTTTAAAAATTACACCTTCAAGTCCTCACCTTATGCAGTAATTTAGTTTGAAAACAAAAGGGCAGAATAAACAAAAGCGATACCTGAGGAATCTAAGTATCCAGTAGATAAAGGCAGCAGTGACCATAAGTCCAGGATAAAGCGTACCACCAATGATCCTTCCAAGTGGATACCAACTCTCGGAGTCGAACCAGTTCCAAAACTCATAAAAACCTTTCTGAGTCAAATACAACGTCGTCCTGTAATTGAAATACGGATCGAATTCATGGATCATGCTCTCATATCTCAGCACACTGAAGAGTCGAGTGATAAATGCGAGAATGTAGACGAGTCCGAGGATCGAAATTCGAAGCAGAAGCTCCTTTTGCTTCGTCTTCAGCTTTAGAGATTTGAGTGAGAACAATGACTGCGATGAGGAAAGCAGATCCGTTGCTTTCTCCATTTCTGCGAGATTAGATCTACTACTAATTCAGCTCAATTGATGAACAGAGTGCGAATTTTCGATTCGAATTTGCCGAGTTTTGGATCTTTCTTACATTTATGAATTGTTTAGAGTGACGGATCAAAACGCAAACCCTACTGAAACGCCAGTGATGGTACTCAATGAATCATGGAAGGATCCTCAGAGCAAGTATCGAGTCTGACGAATCGACAAAACGTGGAAAAAATGACATAAAAGGGAGGACTTTTACAAGGTATTTAGTCAATGGGCTCTTCCCTTTTAGGCCCAATTTTGAAGCATCACGAGACCCAATCCAGATTAAATTCATCGGGAATTTGCTCATTTACTAATTATTATGAACTTAGAGTAGGGGTGTGCACTATTCGGATTAAACCGAATAATTAAACTAAATCAAATATTTTTATTTAGATTGGTTTTTTGATTTTTTGATTAATAATTACTTTGTTTGAATTTTTGGTTTGGTTTCGGATTTAAAAAAATAAAAATTGAAAAAAACGAATTATATATATATATATATAAATGTTTAGGTTTAGAATTAAGTTGGAGTTAACCACTTTTGTCCCTTTTTGGTTATTGTCTTTCATTATGATTACGTTTATATTTTATTATTTGAACATCTATAATAGGTATACTTATAAGTATTGTGTTTTAAGTTTTACTTATGATTTATATTAGAAAGTATATTTAAGAGATTCAACATTATTACTTTGGTTATGTTATTAATTATTGACATAACCGAATAATCAAAACTGAAAAAAAGCCGAACCAAAATAGAGGAAAACCAAACCAAACCAAATTTATTTTGGATCGGATTGGGTTAACTTTTACAAAATCAAAAACCGAAAAATCCAAACCAAATAGTGCAAAACCAAACAAAAAAACCGAATGCACACCCCTACTTAGGAGAGACAACCGAGAGAGTTGGAGTGGATAGTAGGAACATGTTAGAATCGGGTTAAATAAGATTGAATAAATATTTAATAGTCGATATTAACATGAATGGAAAATAAGTTAATCTATGAATAATATGGATATTATCCACAATGGAACACGGAACTAGTAACATTTTATTAAATTTACCTTTATTTTTTCAACCAAGTCGTTCAAAACATATGCAAATGTTAGTACGTATACAGTATGAGGATGCATGAACTTTGGTTACCTAAAATGCTTTAATTCTTTTAAGAATAATTGAACAATACAAGTAAGTCATGTCGATACAGAAGGACTTATGAATGATTTAAGAAGATGAAGCAGAGTGAAAATAGTATCAAATATTTAAACAACATAGACTACTACTCTTGCCTTACATGACTGGTAAAACGGTAACTTTTTTTTCCCCTTAATGTAGCGTTGAGGCTACTTTTGCACGGATAATTAACTCATCCAGAAAATTGCCCATGTGGCAAACACAACTCAAAACTCCAACTAGTATAATATGGGGCTGATGATGAGATTTTGTCCAATACTCTCTTTGCGACTAGTATGTGCACAACTGATCTTAAACCTGTTTTTAATTCAAAATAATTCTATCCAAAGGCACTGTCAATTCACTATCTCATTGTCAAACGCATTAGAGTTTTACATGTAGATGTCTAATGTATATGAACTTCAAAACTCAATGATGGATCATTAATCTAATCGAATAGGGGTGAGCCCAAGATTTTTCTCTTTGCTGATCAATTTCACCTATACAGAAATAGTAGAATAGAATTATGCAACATACATAGTTTTGATTTCTGCAATAAATAAAAACCATAAAATGCAAAACCGAAGTAATTACGTAATGGACCATTTTGCAAATTTTTTTGTCATTACATGTGTAGAATCTTGAATGTGCTTTTTTTTTTTTCAAGCAAAATGTAATGCCAAAAAGACTCTAATCCAAAGATATTATTTCCACAAGTACTCTACATTTAGGTGGCCTGTGATGAGCAACCGTAGCAAACTAGCAATAGTGTGGAGGGCTACGAAAGTAGGCCATCATAATTCGTAAGTCATAACTTATGCAGATTAGGGACCACACAATGGTTGATTTTCCACGTAATTTTCCGGCCATTGAAGTCAAGGTGGGTTAAGTCTCAAAAGTTTACCAGAAAACTCTGGAGCAGTACATTTTATAACAAATCCATAAGTTCAATACAGAAAGTAGAAATGATACTGAGTATGAACATACTGATGTTTACTCAAATTCAATTAACAAGCAGCACATATAACGTAACACAATCACAAAGGTATTGGATACTGCCAACAAATTTCATCAGAAATCATTTTAACAAATCAGATTTTACTTTCATAGTCCAAGTTACCTCGCTACAATAGACTATCCACTCCCTTCAGCATTTAAAGATATCAGACCCAACCAAAAAAAAGAAAAAAAGAATACACCAACTAATGATGCCAGAAATTACCTTGCCAAAATTGACAAGGATAGAAAAAAGGGATTATTTTAAATAGGAAGGTAAACGAAACAGAACAGACCACTATCTCCTTGAACTGCAGTCAATGTCAGCTTGAATATCTCATATACAGGTAAGCTGTGGTTTATATACTGAGAGCTCTACTCTCACTATGCTAGAAGTCATGACTCTGTTAGAATATCTCCTTCACTAAACCTCCACGCACCACCATCTTGCCTCTTCAGAACATAGCGAATTTTGTAAGTGCTGCAAGATGATCACCAAGGAACTTTCAGTTGTTTTACATGAAAACAAGCATGGATTCATTCTGAGGTAGAGAGGTGGAACTCTTATAAATGGAGAAATAATTTGAGGAAATGATGCTAAAACAGCTTGTTACAAGATGCTATATTAGAAATGGATACAACATATAACAGGCAACTAAAGTGAGTAACAAATCCTCAGGTTACTGAGCAGATTTGCACGAAAAACTGAATATACCACTACGAAGCTATGGCCCAATCTCACTCCATAAAGCACTCAAGTACATTATATGTGAAAAGAACAAATACATTCTGCACCTGACACATCTAGATAATACTTGTATACAATATTATGATTTATTTTTAGTGATACTATAATGTGTAGCTACCTTCAAATTACAACTTGACAGCAAATTTAGTCCTTGCCCTCTTTCAATGGACATGCTTCAAAACCTCAACTTCTTAGAGATGAGCCAATTAGTCCTTACATTACACTAACAGAACAACCAAATGGAATAGAAATCTAAAAGTTCAACCAGCATCTGCACTCCACCCTCCACTAACCTGAATACACTCATCCTGCAACCTTACCTGCAATTGACCACCACCACACCCCCCCCCCCCCCACACCCCCCACCCCCCCACCCAC